TCAGTTTAACTTAAAATCCAATTTATTAATTTGATTTATGGATTGTTTAGGTCTACTGCTACAGGACCTCTGCATCCCAACCATTCACTTTTCATTTAATAAATTAAAATGTATATAGGTATACCTTATACATATAGTATACAGCATATGAAATGGATATCATGCTTTCTGAAAAATTATAACATGGAATTAACTATCTTTCAAAAGAAAAACTGATTCCTTTCCCTTGCTTCCTGACGTTTCTAATTTAAAAATCTAATTTAAAAATGGAAGAGAAATGAAATCTATCATAAAAGCCCTTGCCAGATATAATAACAACATGCCCATTAGTTTTAAATGCTCAAAGAAAGGTGTTGCCTAAATGTTAAAGAACTTAATTCTCTACAGTTAAAACACACAGCATATCAAATTGAAAGAAGTATTTAGGAAAAAGAGAAAGAGACAAAATCCAAAACAAATTAGAACAAAGGTGTAAATGGCATTTGCCAAGAACTGAGATGCTTTTACAAGGGGTTAGTCTGGAGGATATCACTTCGGAATTTTGTTAATGTGCTACTGAAAAGAGAATCACTCTAAAATCAAATCCTATTCAATTGAGCAGAGTGAGGAGTAAAAAAATAAAATAAAATAAACTTTGAAGCATAGCATCTTGTTACAGCTTGCAGATAGTCCTCGACTTAACAACAGTTCATTTAACGAACATTTAGTGGCTCTGAAGTGACTTATGACCATTTTTCACATGACCTTTTCAGCATCCCGTGATCATGTGATCAAAATTCAGATGCTTGGCTACTGGTTCATATGTATGACGGTTTCAGTGTCCCGGGGGTCATGTGATCAGCTTTTGCAACCTTCTGACAAGCAGAGTCAATGGGAAATCCAGATTCACTTAACTACCCTGTTATTAATTTAACAAAGGCAATGATTCACTCAGCAGCTTTGGCAAGAAAAGTGGTAAAATCAGGCAAAATCACTTAACAAATGTTTCATTTAGCAATATAAATTTTGGGCTCAGTTGTGGTGGTAACTCGAGGACTACCTGTACTTTCAACCCTGATTGAGAACGAAACGGAAGTACAATGTTATCGTTGTTGCTATTACTGCTATTATTATTTTCATCCTATACAACTCTTTCCTGAAATTAGTCCTCTACAACAGCAGTCACCAACTAGTGGTCCGTGAGAAAATTTTGGTGGCCCGCAGAAAAATTATTTGCCTTTTTTATACTGCACTAAATACTAATTATCTTTTTAAAAAATTCATATTAGTGGTCTGTGGGATTTAAAATTATGAATTTAGTGGTCCCTGAGATCCAAAAGGTTGGCGACCCCTGCTCTAAAAGGTAGAGCTGGTGTAAACTACTCCTGGATCCAAAGGCACTCTCAGGCTACATCATTTTGGGGACAATGCAGTAGATTTCATCTCATCTTTCATATCATAACCTCTACAATCACAACCTCCATCTTATTTGGATTTAGATTTTGCATGCCTGCAAACAGACATTTAGGGAGATAAGGCAAGAGCAGTGATGTGCAGAATGTTGTGTGGGTGTCATCAGTATATTCATAACACTTTACACTGGACTATATATCAGAATAGTTGCTATCTCACCCTTCTTCACTATCATTTTTCTTACTGCTATCAACTTAAATATTACATATTATTGAGAAAAATGATTGATGTTTCAGAGAAGCGACAGAGGTTTTAAAGGCGACCGCAAGCTGTGATAAAGTCATTCTTCCCAATTTCACCTTCAGTTAAAGTGAAATTGCAGATATTTATTTTAGAAACCAATATAATCTTTTAGAATGGAGATGAAGGGGAAAAAATACTGTATGGGTACATGCAGTTTAAGGGTGATTCACTCAAATTCCTTTGAATTCCTTAAGAACTATTACAGCATGAAGATTGATGTTATGTAACTTGGTTCTGTGAGTTCTGCATTAATATGCATTATTGTTTAAATTTGCTTGTGCTCTACTACATGCTTTTGATTTTTTTTCAACACTGAATTACTACATTTTTATCCTTATATTTTGCTTGCCCTCCTTAGGTGGGCTTGCTCCAGAACCTTTGTTTTATAAATAAGCAAATCAATTCAGTTGTTGAGAACAACAAGCATGAAGGGATAATAAGAGCCGTGCGATCATAACAACTGACATTTCATTTGATATCATCTGTACCTCTGTTAAGAATAACCCTATTCTGTCAGGTAGAATTGTTGTACTTCTGCCACTCTGTGGCCAAAACCAGAATAGCATAGAAGTTTCATTGGTTATGGAGAATAACTCAAAACGCATTTTCTTTAACTTTTTCTGTTTCGATGCACTGCCTTCCATTAAACTGTAAACAAATTTTATTGTAATGTACTGTTTAGCCATTGTTGTACAAGTTTTTTCATTAGCCAAACTGAAAAGACTATCAACAAGAACAGGGGTGAAATGCTACCAGTTCACCCAAACCTGTAGTAAAAAAAATGCTACCAGTTTGGGTGAACTGGTATTTCAAGCAGGATTTACTGTTTTCTAGGTAATCTAAATTGCATGGCACAGCGGATTCCCCCTTCCTCATTGTTTTACTTACCTTTGCAGGTGTGCCTAGTAGCAGGCTCTGTCCACCTGCCCGAATGTCATCACATCCATTTTTTATGCTCAGCGCATGGGCGCACGCGGTCACATTTGTGAACCAGTAAGGAAGGTAAGTAGATTTCAACCCTGAACAAGAAGTATTATTTTCTGACATATGCGGCTTCCCAGAAGCAATTAAAGAACTAAATAGGATTTCCCTTCAGATATGTTGAACTTCAAGTTCCATAATTTCAAGGCAGCATGTTTCTAACTGGCTAGAAATTACAATAGCATTATAATGTAATCTAAATTATCCAAAGGGCTTTACGTCAGAAAAGATTATATCTTGATCAAAGACACCAAAATTCTTATGTTTACAATTAAAATACCATTCAATACCCTTAAAAGGAATACATGCTTAATAATTTTTATTATAATATTTAATTAGTATTGTGTTAAATCGGCGGTAGAGATTACGAGGAGGCGTCTGAGGTAACCTTGAACCGTTTATTCAAACAAGAACGAACAGAACAACAACTGTGAGTAGACCGGCACCTCTCCTTCGTCTGACAGCCTTTTATACTCGGCTGTCAAATAGTTCAACCAATAGCCTCGCGTATGACAGCCCGGCAACCGGCAGGCACGTCTGATTGGCTAAGACGCACCTGNGTTGGCTCAGAAACTCTGGCATTTGAAGCACACAAGTCTTAAAGCTGTCAAGTTACAAGACCCTTGCACCACTAACCCTTTAGAAAAAAAAACCCGGGGTATTCAAACTTGACAGCTTTAAGACTTGTGGACTTCAACTCCCAGAATTCCTCTTCTCGCTCTTCATCTTGATGATGTGCGGACGGGCAGGGGACCGGTTCTAAATGGCACTGTAGATTTGTGGAACCTCCTCTGTAGAAGAGGTTAGAACTGGCAGGAACCCACCCCTGGTGTGGCTTGATTGGTGTGACAGGGGAAGGATGCTGCAAAATCCCCCATTCCTTCCCCATCCCACTAACCTGCTTTCCAGCTCCGTTCTCCTGTTCAGGGCAACAAAAGAAGATTGGCGGGGGGTTGGGGGGGACAATCTATTTGCCAGTTCTCCGAACTACTCAAAATCTCCATTACAGAGTGGAAAGTCAGAGTCTGTCTCCAGAGCCTGTCAGAACTGGCTGAATATCACCTCTGATTCCAAGCATAATAATGGTTTGGAATAGATTAAAGAGTGGTTATACTGTTTATGTTTTGCAACTAATGATATCATTCTGAAACAACCTATGCAGTAATCTTTGGTTTCTTTTAACCAGGATGTTACTAAATGAACCATATGGCTTGGCTGACATATAATGCTAAGCAATAATGGACTGAGTCACTGAAACCATATCGCATTATGGTTTACTGTTAAGCATAAGCTGGGGCACTGTTTTCATGTACTATATTTGTACTAATTATTTCTGGGCAATTTGATTTCGTCAAGACAATTTAGAAAGAACATCCGAGCAACATTCTGTGCTGTCAATATAAGCCTGAGGTCAATTGCACAATCTTAGCCTTCTGTATCCAAATTTAATGACTATTATATGGGAAAATATCCCCACCCAAATGATCCTGGCATACATATTCCTGTTATATTAATATGCAATCTCACCATTAAGCGGTTCCCACATGGCTATTTAAAAGAAAGACATAAAAGCATCCATTAATTGGAAATGTGCTATGAAATATGCAAGATTTCCACAATGACACTAGAGAAAATTACTATAGAAAGCAAATATTTCTACATGTAGGAAATTGCAATGGGAGCGGTATTTTATTGTGAGTATAGACACATATGCACATACCCACACCCACTTTAAAGGTTTGTTTAATTCATATTTATGCAAAATATAATCTAATATACCCATGGGGAAGAATTCTGGTTACAGTCCACTAAAATTTCTTTTGCTTGGATGCCAAAGATAATAATAGAAGATGCTATGCAGACACACAGTACTTCATTTCAGCACATTTCAATAGGGCTTTTAATGGAGAGTTTTTTGGCATCTAATTAAACTCTACCAGCATAGTGCTAGATAAGAATTGAATAGATTATGTATGCATATCAAGTATGAGAACATGGAAGCCAAAGATCAACATTAAAAGGAAAAATAACACCCAGTGAAGAAAGTTCATGCTGAGGTATATCCTGGTGCTTGAAATTTACATAAATGTAATTCTAGTGCTTAAATACACCTTAGAAGTCTGTATTTTAGCTTCATGATTTTTGCTTCTATAAAAACCAAATTTAACCTAATGTATGTTTTGGCCATTAATAGCAATCAATAGTGAAAAGCTGCCCAGACACACCTATAGGGACTTTTTAAAAATAATTTGATGGCATATAAATACCAGAAATAAATAATAAAGACAATTTCCCCTTTTAATCCCCGCTCCTTGAGTTCTTACTGTTAAAATAGTTGGGGTCACAAAAGCCCAACAGACTCTCCAGAATCTATTTGGTTGGAATCCAATCATCATTTCAATGTCTTCACAAAATCTTTCCAAGCCTGTAAAATAAACACATGTAAATCCAAATGCAAAAAGAGACTGAGCTACAATTAAGATCTCTGGTGATCCCCCTTCTGTCTAATTATAGAAAAAACAGGCACTCTGATTTGTCAGTCAAGCTGTTCAAGACCATAGATATTATGATATCTATAATACGGATTACTCATATGGGAAGCCATACTAATAGGTGAATTACAAAGTTACATTTTATATAAACATTAATTTAATATATTGCAATATAAGGAATAAAATGAACACAACCTGTGGTCTACAGCAACAAGTACTTAAGATTCTTATTTTCAATTCTGAAGCATTTTTTTTATTGATGAAGACATGTGAATATTTAGAAACTTGAGTTGAGGGGTCTCAGTTTCAGAATTCTGAAATTGCTTTCGTGAAAGCAAATTGAACCGTATTTTGGAAAATATGATTCTTTTCTATTTGATTTAGTAATGCTCACAGCTAATATTTATTTTCAACACTGGTTGATTTTTAAAAAAATCCCCTTAGATGAACAAAAAATTTTCATTTTTTAATTGGGTACTATTATTTTAGATATTTATACAACATATAATAAAAAAAAGCTATATGTGTTCTAATCTCAAGTCAAGAGTAAAAATTAGGGGAGTGGAATTTAAGAATATTTTGTATATAAAGCTTTGGATTCTCCAATAAGGAAAAGAAATCAAGGCCTGAAATTTAACTTTGAAATTGTTCAACAGCAATACAATATTATTGTAAATGTAATGTAAAATACCACAAAGAAATCCAGATAGTTTTCCATTAGAAACAGAATTGTTTCTTTTGATGGCAATAATGTAGACAGGGCCATCATTTCCACATTATTTCAGTCCATTACTTCTTTTGATTGCTAGGCCTTTGCAAGACTTTCACATTATCTAGTTTGCTGCACCAGTTTTATGCACACAGCAGGTATATTTTTGCCTTAATGAAAAAAGGACTAATATTGAACTGGTGCAGCTTCCTTTTCAGTCTTGCAATTCAGCAACAGAACACCATCCAGTACCAACCAACGATGGATGGATTGTGTGACTTCCTTTTCTTTCACTTGTTCATCGCCATTCTTCACATCTCTTTATCACTAAGCAAGCTCAGTGACAAATGCTTTCCAACAGGAACTCACATAACACTGAATCACTGCAACAAACATTAATTATTCACTCCCAAAGTACAAAACATCCCATCTCGAAAACAAAAACAAAAATGTGTGACTTTTCTTCTGGAGAGAGTGACAGAACAAGGCTGACTGCTGCTCTGAATATGTTTAGATATTACTCCAGCATGAAATCTCAACCTTTCATATACACCAGCTTCTGTTACCACAGCAGCAATCTATCATAGTAGATNAGCAACTATGAGCCATGGTGGCACAGTATCTAGAGTGCAGAAATGCAGGCTACTTCTGCTGACTGCTGATTGCCAGCAGTTTGGTAGTTCAAATCCCACCAGCTCAAGGTTGACTCAGCCTTCCATCCTTCTGAGGTCAGTAAAATGAGGACCCATATTGTTGGGAGCAATATGCTGATGCTGTAAATCGCTTAGAGAGGACTGAAAAGCGCTGTAAGTCAGTATACAAGTCTAAGTGCTATTGCTATTGCTACTTGACATTCTGTACCAGAAGCAAGAAGATAATTCCATTTTTATCCACTCTAAGGAGAAACATAACTTATAAGAATATTCCTTTATGGGAAAGCTTTCCTCTTCCAAGTAAGTCTGCAATGAGTTTCTATTGCAATAAAATAGCACAAAGAAGCAATACAAATCTTGTTAGGAGGTCCTAAAGTTGAAATGTCGTACAATATTTCTAGTGAGTATTCAATTCATTTGCAATCATTCAATTTGGAAGATGTAAAGAGTTGCCTGTCATTTAAATGTTTCCTTCTTGAGACATACGGCAGCATGCAATCACCCATTTTATAAACAACATCTGGAGCAGTGTTTCAAAATATTGCTGTATTTCAAAGCTACATGAAAACGAGGAAAGCGCTTTACTTCAAATCTATACCCAATATAATCCTGGTAGGACTATTTCCAACTTCAGAATCTGAGATGTGTCGGCAGCTTATTTATTTATAAATCCTTCTCTTGACTAAAGATACATATGTCTTCCATTGGTTCCCATGGAAACAGGGTATGTGCATCATTTGGCTTTGAAAGGTCTTGTGAATAGTTATTTCTGGACTAATCTACAGTATTGGCAATTTTTAGAAAGTGAAATCTTCTCACAAGTGATATAGGCTTATTTAGACAGATTTCTCATTCCTTCTGGTAAAGCCTGGAATCTTTCAAACCATCATGATTTTTGGGTTGTGTAATTGTAACAAAGAAGACTATTTAAATCAAGGTCTTCTCACTTGTGTTTAGGGAAAAGTACCTCCTTCATTCATCATCTGCTGTAATGGCAAAATGTGGGCCAATATAGTAAAGAATTTATAATTTATAATATAAAAATTTGTTATTTATAAGAAAGTGCTCTTGGGATCAATGATTAAAAAAACCAAATTAGTCTGCTATATATTTCATATTAGCACTTGTTTTTAAAAGTAAAAATAAAACTATCAGCATGGAAGATAGATATAATAACTTTTAGAATCTTCCAATTTAATGGCAATATACTATCAGGTAACACCAATTATCAGGTGACCAATAGCTGGTACCTGTGAACAAAATATTCCTTTGTTCTGTTTGGGTGTTGTCTGTTTGACAACACCCCTGCAGTTATTTTTATAAAAATGAAATTCCATGAATGTGCCAGGTTCTAAATTATAGCTAAAAGCCTCTCTTAGAAATCCCAGATCTCAACATGCATACCGGACCAATTATAAATCTCCGTAACATTGAAGGATGGCAACAGGACATTAATAACAACACTCTTTATTGACATCCCTATTGACCTTTGGTAACAATGCAGTGTTACTAAACACCATCAGCCTCTTCAGGAAAAGAGGTTGCTGTTGTAAGCGGTAGATAGAAAATTGCTTTTTCTATAAAAGGAGATTTAGTCGTACTGGATGACCTAGAACATCTTGTGGCATTATGGAAAGCAGGCAAACAAAATATACAGGGGAGGATCATCACAGTGGAATAATGATATTTATGCAAAGATCATATATATGGAAATCACACTTCACTTTTAAAGTCATAAACATGCTAGAGTTGTCAGTAACAGCCTGTTCTACAATAGTCAGACCAAATTAAGTAAATTTGACTTTTAGCTTAGATACAGTCATTACCACGCATGTCTGTCTGTATTAAGAAACTTTGCTGTCCAAGACAGATATATGGTCAATTCAAAGTTAATTGCCAAAAGAAATGTCTTAATTGTCTTAAAGTACCTGCAAGAGCAGGATAGACCACATTGTCACAGGGAATATTTTTTTAGGCAATATTTGCAATTACACAATGGAAGAGGGGAAATAGTGATGTTATCAAAAAGGGCAGGCTTTTTAAGGAGGGGGCTGAAGTTTCTTCTTGAAAAGCATATTGAGCTATCAGCCATAGCTTACTAGAAAAATTCTGTCAGCCAAAATCAGAAATTTGCCACCAAATTTGAGCATTGCTATTCTTGGGATTCCAAAGAACACACAAATGTATTCCACAGGATACACATTCGTATCCTAGAGAAAAAAGAGTTATGAACATTCTTCCAATGGATAATAATTAATATTTTCTGTGAGTAAAGCTCGGGTCATTCTTTGTAAGAGATGGTAATCTAAGAAGGATGAGGAATCAATAATATCATCTCCATTGGCAGGATCATGAAGTCTTCCATTGATGGAACAAGTTCTTCCATTTGGAGACAGCAATTACCTATTCTACTGGTCATAATTCTGTTGTTACCATTTTGTATTTTCTATGAATGCATCTTTGTAATTAAGCTCAAATATACCATCATTATTCAGTCATATATTCCAGTTAAAATATTCATGTGGATTGGCCTTGAAAAATCATAAGAAATACATTAATTTGTAATCATTTTAGAACCCTAATCTTGACTGCTGCACGCCTACATACTTATTTGAGGGCTGTATTAATTAGTGTAGATTATATGCTTCATTATTACTTTTATATCTCTTACTAAGTCATATTCACATTAATGATAACAACTTGCTATCTATTTACTGACTTAATCAGTTTTAATATAATTGTAACAGTACTAAACATTGCGCTTGATGGAATATCCAAAAATATTTGGTTAAGATTCTTTTAGACGTATATTTTGAAATGTTAAATGAATAACATTTTAAAACTTGTATTTGTGGAATTATCTGTTATTTATCAATATCCCAATTTCACATGTAAGAACTATTTGCATAACCTAAGGATAACATATCCATTTCTTACCATAAATGTACGAAATGCCAACAAGTTCAAAGATGGCTATTATAACAAGAGAATAAGATGCTGCATAGGTGTCCACAAGCTGCAACATGTACATCCCACCCTAAAATTAAAAATAAATAGTTATTAATAGAAATGCCACTTGACTTTAGGATGCAGTCAGCAGGAACCCAACTAATAATTGCGGTAAGAAAAAAGTACAATTACTGCTCTTTTGTCATCAAGCCCCATCTCACTATGAAAATATGAATATGAAAATATGAACTATAAATATAGACTTTTTCAAGAATGTCTATTTTGGATATGCCTTTACAAAAAAAATGGGGGGAGGAGTAGCCAAAATAAAATGAATATCAAATTAGGTTTTTATATGATGGCAGAGCTTTTCTATTTGAAATTCCTATATACACTAGAACCATGAGGGAAAACCTATGGCATGTGTGCCACAGATGGCACGCTGAGCCATTTCTGAGGGCACGCGAGGTGTTGTCCTGTCAGCTCCAGCGCCAGAGGTAGGTTCCTACCAGTTCGCACCAGTTTGGTAGAACCAGTTCGTCAAATCTACCGAACCGGTTAGAAGAGGTTCCACCAGTGGACCCGGAAAGCAGGCCACACCTAAAGAAGAAGTTCCAAAAATTTTTGAAACTCACCACTGTCCAGCGCGCATGCACATGCTGGCCAGCTGCTTTTTGGGCTTGATTTTCAGCTGGTTTTTTTGTCCTCCGGAGGCTTCCCTGAAGGCTGGGTAGGGAGAAAAATGGCCCAAAGGGACCCACCAGAAATCTGGAGGCTTCAATGAGCCCTGTATGTGTATGTTACAATGGCATTGGAAAAAGTGAATTATTTTCACACTGTTGGAGCATCTCCATGATCACAACATTCAGGCATTTTGCAACTGATTCATATTTATAATGGCTGCAATGCCCTTGGGGTCATTTTGTGGCTTTCTAACAAGTAAAATCAATGGGTAAGCCAAATTCACTTAACTACTGTGTTACTAACTTAACATCTGCACTTATCAACTATGGCAAGGAAGATTGTAAAATTCACTTAACAATGGTCTCGCTTAGCAACTTTAATTTTCGGCTCAGTAAGTCGAGAACTACTTGTATATGCTTAACAGGGCCTTCAGAACTGTCATACATTTTCATGATCAGTGAGACTTCTCTTCAAACTGCACTTCCTCTGGAGTTAATCTACTCTTAGAGCTGGTTTTTCTAATTGGATCTGGCACATAAACAGCACATAATGTAATATATGTTTACCTGAGTGATCATAGGAAAACCCATGATGAAAAAGGAAATGCAGCATCCAAGAGTGAACAGTGGCTTGTGGGTTCGTAAATATTTCGGAAATTCATCTGAAACAGATGTCACTATGGTTTCAATAGTGGCAAACTGAAATGTCAAAGAAGAAAGAAAAAAATCAGTAGCAATCAGTGAGTAAAACATCAGATTTCTGGTTAGTTTGAACATCATACTTTAAGGGAAATCCCTTATCTCACTATGTTTCTGCTTTGTCCGTTTTATATTTCACAGATTAAAAATTAGGAATGAATAAATTATATTCATGACAAACCTAAGTAAGTATTTTAAGTAAGCAAAATATTATTAATAAAGTACAGATCATTTGTTACAGTCGAAAGTTAAAATAAAAAAAGATGGGGAGAAAATCATGTGTCATTCAAATGATTTACAGAAGCAGTTTTCATCTTAAATGTTAGCTACCCAATTTCACCACATTGATTCTTCTTAATCTCTTGTCATTCGCTATGTTTATGACTTCAGCCTTTTTGGAACAATAATATAGGTGTGTACACAGTATCCTATTCTCCCCATTCACCAAGTTGATCTAAATACATTTTAAGCCCTCCCATTCTTCCATTTTGTTTCAGTCCTTATTTGGATTTCCATCTGTTTGAAGCATGTGAGTGATATGCTCCATACAGTTCTGATTAATGTTCTGACACACACACACACCCTTTTTTATATAGCAGTTTAGCAATTGGCTGTAATTGACATAGATACTATTAGTTTTTGTTTTGTTTTAATTTTGATAGCCACCCATCTCAGCAAGGCTGGGAGGCTCGCAATTCAGAAACATATATTATACAATTAAAATCTTAAAACATTTAAACCATTAAAATGCCAAAAAATTAAAACTTCTAATTTGAGTCCATATAAAGTACAACATCTGGCCTGTTAACTATCTAACCAGGAGGCGGGCCTTTGGCACATGTAGCGCCCTAGGCTCAGGAGCATAACAATATCTTTAAAGCTTTATGGAAGGCTGACAGGTTTGAGGCCATTTTAATCTCCAAAAGGAGAATGTTCCAGATAGGAGGGGCTGCTGCAGAATAAATTTATATTCTAATTCCTGTCAGCCAACATTCTTTGGTTGACAGGATCTGCAGCATGGCCATCCTATTTGGTCTAATTTGAAGGGTAGAAATTCTTGGGACAAGGTGATACCCGAGTTCCAAGTCATTAGTTATTTGTAAACCAAAGGCAATTATAATAATAATCTCAAATCCTGTATAAATGAATTCAGTGTCACTTACTTTGAAGAAACATGTATAGCATCATCAGTTGTATGCTAAATTTGTCAGAAAATCTGTGCTGAATCCCAGCCTGCAACCACTTACATTAATTCAATGTACTGTTGACATTCTGAACTTTTAATAAACAAACTGGAAGTCAAATAAAAAAAAATATTTATCTACCATTGTGTCCAATCCAAGTGTAAGAAGCATCAAGAAGAAGATTATAGCCCAAAATGGAGAAAGTGGAAGCCTAGTTAAGGCTTCAGGATATACCACAAATGCAATGCCAGGACCTAGAATTCCAAATAAAATAGACAGAAATCATATTGATAGCTTAAATAAGAAGCATCCTTTGAATTGTGCGGTCATACTGACAAAAAAAAATCAATTTCAATTTAAGATGACAACATTTAGAAGTCAGTTTCCCACCTTCCAATTGAATAGTGCATTATAGGGTCACAGAATGTAATATTCCAATCATACACTTTGAGCACAAGCAATCTTCAGAAAAATCTAGCTTTTCACAGAAAGGGGATGGCAAAGATCATTATTAGAACAGCAGGGAGTTTGCTATGTATCTATTAAATACAAATATGCCCTGACTTTGAAAGAGAATGTGATATAGTGAAACATTTCGAGAAATGTTTGTGACTCTTCAGAGTACACCCTGTTTCATTTTATTGATGCCCAACAGCAACATAGAAACACAACTTCTCTTTAAAATATTTGTCTTTTTAATTGCACTCCCACTTGTTTCATTTACTATACACAAATTTCCTCCATCACTTTTATGTACCAGGCATCATCTGTTGGAGAAACTGGTGCCATCCCAATATTTTTATTACCAACGTGAACAATGGTTGGTTTGGCAAAGCTACTGCATTGGGTATTTAAACCCAAAACATCTGGTAGGCAACAGATTTCCCTTTCCTGAGTTACTCTGTAATACATCACTGCCCATTTATTTTAGCAAAGCAAGAGTTAATTTCACAACCATTATATATTTCCCAAAAATGTTGGAAAACTCTTGTCAAACATAAAATACTGCTTGAAGACTTTTTTTATTATTATTACTGGTGTGAGGCAATGCAAGAGGCTGACTTTAAAGCCTGCTGTTAACTGGGAGTTTTTCTTGGCAAGAAGGCTTAGGGGATGTTATATATTCATGAACATGCTCTTTCATCTCCTGATTAAAGATTTTTTTCTTGACTACTACAGATAAAAATGCTGCTTGCAGTAGCTTCTTGCACGTTTGGAAATTAAATTAAGGGATCAAAATAATGAGTTTCTAGAATTCATCATACTGTGGGAAAACCTAATTGCAGGAAATGAAACTGCAAATCTCTCTTGATTGGGATCCTTTAAATTAATTTCATGGAGAGTTGGAGGTTATGACCAGGGAGAGCTAGATACAGATAAGGGCAGTTGCTGGTCTTCAATACCCATTTGGGAAAAGACAAACATTACCCTTTACAAAATTAATTCACAATTCAAGCAATAATTCAAATAGTACCTTATAGTAATGGAATAACTGGCATCTTCCTTTTGGGACAGCCATATTATACAAATATCCACCAAATTTGGTTATTTGGCATTTCAAAGCACACATATAGTCATACTACAGAACAGTGGCGGGATTTTAAAAATTACTACCAGTTCTGTGGGCGTGGCTTGGTGGGCGTGGCATGGCTTGCTGGGCATGGCAGGGAAAGGATACTGTAAAATTTCCATTCGCTCCCCATTTCAAGGGAAAGTTACTCCAAAATCCCCATTACCTCCTGATCAGTTGGGAGGCAGAGAATAGATGGGGGTGGGGCCAGTCAGAGGTGGTATTTACTGGTTCTCCAAACAACACAAAATTTCCACTACCGGTTCTCCAGAACTGGTCAGAACCTGCTGTATACCACCTCTGCTACAGAAGAGCGTTGGGCCTTAAGAAAAGGTTGCTATATGTCTGCTTTAATTCTATGAGCTTCTGAATCACATGAATGCAAACATTGTAGTTCCGTTCTAGAGTTCTTATTCTTCAGCAAATTCTATTGTGCTTCTGTTTGGAATCAAAAGCCTACCTTATCAGGTTGTTTTGAAGTTTTAAGCATTAATATACAACTTTTGCATCATTACAGTTTGCAGTTGTCTGGATTCTGAAGCACTTAAACAGTACTAAAGCCCCCTTTTGTAAGCTGAATCTAAACTTTCACAATCGCCTAAATGCTCTTGAGTTTTTATCTCTTACTTGAAATCCTAGAGATTTTAAAGCAATTTTTAAACATTTCTAAAACAGCAAACTAGACAAGAGTCATTGGAAAGGAACTAAAATATACATGCTGCTTTGCACTCTTGCACATGTCATTTTAAAAGAAAGAACCATTCAATTTAATGGGATCATACTTCGTGAAAAGCAGAAACCAAAACTTACTCATTAGCTGTATTAACTATTTTATGGTTTTATTTAGCATTTAATGGTACTGTTTAATAACTCATAAAGTGAAGTAGGTTTATTTATATAGGTAAATTCTGAAAGAGGCCTGCACATTTCTTCACATAAAATACAACTCTTAGAAACTGAAGAATCTGGATAGAATAGTTGTCCAAATGAATATTACATATTTGTATTAAATCAGACATATCCAAGCAGTGGCCCATGGCCTCGTGCTTCCCTGGATAGCTAGTAATGCAGCCCCACAAGATATTTTAACATTGTGTGTGTGTGTGTGTGTGTGTGTGTGTGTGTGTGTGTGTGTTTTCATAGAATATATATATATATATATATATATATATATATATATATATATATATATACACACACATACATACACACACACACACACACACACACATACATACATACATACATTAACTATATAATTTATACACAGCCAAAGATAATCCCTCTTCACTCATTGCAAATCAGGCAAGCCAAAAGGTCAAGCCCACCTGTATTCAATAAAGAATTATGAGTAAACCTTTCAAGGAATGAGTTGCAAATTTAACATGATACGCTCACAAAATGAACAATTTTTGCCTTTGATGACATGCAGGTATATATCAATACCTCTTAGTACTTAGACTTACATACCTCTTCGTAGTGCTTTTACAACCCTCTCTAGGCGGTTTACAGAATCATTATATTGGCCCCAACAATTTGGGTCATCATTTTACCCACCTCGAAAGGATAGAAGTCTGAGTCAATCTTGTGCCAGAGAGATTTGAACTGGCAAATTGCAGGCAGGCAGCAGGCAGCAGAAGTAGCCTGCAGTACTGCACTCTAACCACTGTGCACCTTGGCTCTCATATACATGTTTTCCCCTGGAATTCATGGGTAACTTGTTTCTGAACCTTGGATTATTGCAGGTTTCAGTGAAATTCCTGCAATCTCTTTACACACACTCTTCTGTCACTGCTGAAATATTTTACAGAAGCATAGAAGGAGCAAATGCTTACATGTACAGTAATTCAGCTTGGACTGGCCCAGCATTTCAATATTCAATAGGTAAATTCCCCAGTGTTTGCACCTATTAAATAAATTATTATTACGTGCCAGGAAGGTTTTATGGAGTCTGAAAGTGGTTTAGGAATAGGCAACCTCATAAGACAATTATCCCAGTGATCAAATATTTATAGCTTGAGAACATATTATCAAATGCATGTACATTACCAAGATCGTTTGCAAACCTTAAAATTCAAATTATATTTTGACCAATTTGACAGCAAAGATAGAAGAATCAGTTCCATTCTGATTCTACACTGACAATTTTCAGCTTCAACTTGTATAAATAAGGCAATTGTATTATGTCTCACTGCATTAAAGAATCAGTTAAAGGAAGCACTCATCTTAAGAAAAGATTGTGATATTACATAGTTAAACCTGTCAATATGTGCTGTTAGGCAGCCTATACAAGATATGAATGGGGAATTAGGGCTTTGAGTGCAGCTTGACTTGTAGTTACTTCATGGACACACCTACATAGTTTCCTTAGCAACCATACAGAAGTAGTTTGCTTCTTGCTTCTTCAAGATATTTTTTCCCACTGACCTATAAATGTAATATTTCCTGCTGCGGGAAATCAACTAATTTCTTTGTTGTCCTCAGAGGATGTAAAGGGAACACAGATACTGTCTGACTAGCTTCTACTCAAAGCAAAGATAAGCATGGCATGTTATCCTTTGACTTAGACGACAACCATTCTTATAGCATGTTTCAAGGTGTTCCGAGTTGTGGCATTTTGCTCAAATGCTTCGTCTGCTCTAATCTCTAGGTATATGCAGGATATCTTGCCCAACAGAAACCAGGACAAAATCAGTACTGCCCAATAATTCAATATTCCAAAAATACATTTATATGAAAAACAAAAGATCCTACCTTGGTCTGCAACATCTTCAATATCCACTTTGAGTTCATTTGCCATGAATCCAATCACTGAAAAGATGACAAAGCCTGCAAATATACTTGTGGCACTGTTGGTACAAGTTACTATCAAGGTGTCCCTGAAGAAAGGAAAGGCAAAAGAAAATATGTTTGCCAGATTTTTAATTGAGTAATAATGATGTAGCAGGTAATGTGTTCTGGGTATGTAATTATGTCACACCAATGACATACCAATATTTAATAACTATGATACCAAATGCTATTTATTATTTATTCATTCCATTTGGATAGCTGCTCATTCAACAACTGAGCCTGGGCAGCGAACAAAATTAAAATAAAATAAATAATAATAATAATAACAAACAGAATCAGGAGCAGGGCTATCCATAGGGTGCTACAGCAGAAAAGCTTCTTCTTCTGTGCCCAGCAAACTAACATTCCTTAACCCATGGGGCCCTAAGCATGCCCATCCTGCCTGACTAGTTTGAACAAGTAGATATAACTGGGAAGTAAGCCAGTCCCAAGTAATTTAAATTTGAGAAGCAATACCTTGATTTGAGCCTGGAAGCTTATGCAGTTCACAAAGAAGTGGTGTTACATGCTCTAAGTTACGAATGACATCTACTACCTATTGTGTTACCAGTTAAAGCTTCCAAGTGTTTTTCAAGGACAGCCCATGTAGACTGCATTGCAATAATCCATACAAGAAGTCACTGGGGCATGTGTAATAAGTAGGGGGTCCTATTCCCAGAGCGGGTGCAAATGATGTACAATCCACATTTCCATTAACAACACTCCCCACCCACAAAAAGGCTACACTAATAAAAATAATTTGATTCACTTTATCAAGGTAGATATTATACAATACTAATGCTTTTAAATACAGTAATTCTAAGAAAGTGATCATTAATTCCTGACTTCATTGTGTGTTTCAAGTCAAGTATTTCATTATTAGCATCAACAGCATAAATCTTATTTTTAAAAAAAATAAATTTAAAATCTTAGATTTTAAAACAAGGAAAACAATAAGTCAGCATTCACAAACCCTAGTACAGTGATTTAAGATTTAAGATTTAGTTTATTTGTATGCCGCCCTTCTCCAGGAGGGACTCAGGGCGGCGAACAACTCAAAAGGGGAAAAGGGGAAAAGGGGATACAAGCACAATACACGTAATTAAAATACACAAGAGTCATACAGACATACAAGTCGAGAGGGGAGGGGAACTCATCAACCCCAGGCCTGCTGGCACAGCCAGGTTTTGACGGCTTTCCAGAAGGCCTGGAGAGAGGTGAGGGTCCAAATCTCCGCGGGGAGTTCATTCCAAAGGGCTGGAGCTGCTACAGAGAAGGCCCTCCCCCGGGTGGTAGCCAGATGGCATTGGCTGGTAGACGGAACCCGGAGGAGGCCGACCCTGTGCGATCTAACGGGTCTATGGGAGACCTTTTTTGACCTTTTTTGATGGCAAACCTTTTTTGGCTCGCATAGCAAAAGTGGGTGGAGTGCAGTGGGGTCATGCGTGGGCATGCCACACATGCGCATGCTTCTCACCTCTGCACGCATGTGCGCACGACCAGCACTCTTTCCACCCCCCATGCTTTTGGCACTCTTTTTGTCCTCCACAGGCTCCAGAGACTTTCTAGGAGCCTGGGCAGGGTGAAAAGAGTCTCCCTACCACTCCTGGAGGCCCTCCGAAGGCTTCAGGAGCTTCCCTGAAGCCTCCTGAGTGCGAAAAACCGCCCCTATGGGCAAACCGGAAGTTCGGGAATGGACTTCTGATTTTCTCATAGGGCTGTTTTTCGCCATCCGAGCCTTCAGGAGGCTTCCCTGAAGGCGAAAAATGGCCTTACGGCCAAACCGGAAATCATTTCCTGTTTGCTCACAGGGCCATTTTTTGTTGTCTAGAGCCTTCAGGGAAGCCTCCTGAAGGCTCCGGGGGGCAAAAAATGCCCTCAAAAGAAGGCCGAAGTCAGCTGGCCAGCGCGCACATGCGCGCTGGAGCTGACAAGGCAACATCTCACATGCCCTGACAAATGGCTCCATGTGCCACCTGTGGCACGTGTGCCATAGGTTCACAATCACGGCCCTAGTGCAAACCTCACAATGCCTAAAACAATGAAAGGTAAATCTTAGGTGGACCTTATCAAATAATGGAAGTGACCACTTATAGGCATTTAAGATGTTCAAGTGAAGATTTGGGGAAAAAATTATGTTATACTACATACCATATTTTTCGGAATATAAGACTGTCCGAAGTATAAGACATACCTAGCTTTTGAGGAAGAAAACAAGGGGGGTGGATCTGCCTCTGCCTCCTAGCAATTTGCTTCCTTGCAGCAAACAGCAAGTTTCATTTTCAGTTTAAGCATGGCCTCCCGATGATCAGCTGTTTCAGGCTGCAGGGATTGCCATAGCATATTGCTGCCTCCACAAGCCCCATTTTCTCTGTTTGCTGCAAGGAGGTAAATTGCTGGAAGGCAGAGGCCAAAGGGTGGGGCCAATGGGTAGGTGGACCTACAGTCAGTGTATAAGACACACCCAAATGTTTACCCTTTTTTAGGGGGGGAAGGTCCGTCTTATACTCTGAAAAATATGGTAACTAAGAAAACATTTGAGATAAATTGTATGTTCTTATGATGAGTTCAGTTTTTCCCATCCTGTACTTTTTTCATAAGTTATCCAGTTTTAATACAACCAAAGGGCAACAGATTGTAAATCCTACTTTGGGTGTTATTTCTGAATGCTGAAACTCCAGTTTCAAGTGTCTAATCAGCATTCCATTACTAAGCTGCTTCAAGACAAACTCATTGTATACAGAAAAGTGATACGTTCTGCACGCATAGTAGATCACTGAACATAAAATTCAGTCTACATAATCATCAAATGCATGCCTCAATAATTTAATGTTTATAAAAGACAGATGTCAACAAAAACATTTAACTCGCAGAGAGCTTTAAGAATGGGCACATGAAATGTGATGCTAAGCATGTAAGGAGATTTAGAAGAGTTCCTTAGCCATTACTTTGAAAGTTCAAAAGTTCAGTTCACACTTATCCAAGGCAGTTACAATAGTAGGCATTTCTTCCTCTACTGCCCACAACAGGCAGTTTCATGCTGATTGAGGCTACATGTATTTGGAGAAGGCCTTGTTTTTTTTACTCGATTTTGTTTTTTGGCCTGCCACAATCCCATGATCTCAGCAATTACAATGTCACAATTAAAGCAACAAAAAACATATAACACGCAGAGGGAGGAAGGAAGGAAGGAAGGAAGGAAGGAAGGAAGGAAGGAAGGAAGGAAGGAAGGAAGGAAGGAAG